GAAGATGAGAGCCATAGGAGAAATAACATTACCTATACATTTCTTACACGAATCTGACCCATGTATCCTTATGATAGACTTCATCATCATAGAAGATGTGAGACACGTGGAAGTCATCCTAGGTGCGGACATGATGAACCTATACGGCATGAGCATTTCGTATAAGGACAATATTGAACTCAGAATTAATGGAACAAACTCAGTATTCTTACCTATACACGAAACCAATGTTATAGGGAGGTCTATAGATAAAATCAAAGTCAGGGCTATAGAATCTTACACAGAGGAATTAGATATATCAAATCTACAAGCAGAAGCGGGTGTACCACAACAATGGCACGGAGGACTGATGAGCAAGAACATTAGCGATGCTTGTCAAATGAAATCCCGGCCAGCAGCAGGCAAAGCGCACCTCATAGGACAACATAGTTTAACTACGGTTATTGTGGAAGGACAAGAAGAGCGTTGCCTCCTAGACAGCGGTGCCTCATGCTCCGCAGTAGGAGAGCAATTTATCTCGAAGATTATACCAGACTGGAGAGGCAAAATGTTACCCAAAAGCAATACCACATTTAATGGATGTGGAGGAGCCCTCAGAGCCCTAGGTGTCATAGAAGTACCACTTGTCTTCCCACACACAGAAGGATCTGTTAGAATACAACCAGAGTTTGTAGTAATGGAGAACGCCAAACCACAATATTTCATTCTAGGAGACGATTTCCTGACTTTATACGGGATTGACATTATACACACCAGAGAGAAATACTTTACCATAGGTAACGATAACAAAAGAAAAAAATTCGCTCTCATTCAAGAGAAACAGGTATTGCCAATCATGACTTCACAAGTAAATAAAATGTTCTCTTTGGGAAAAGAACTTAAAAATCGAATTGTTTTTGGGGATAATTTGTCTACGGAGCAGACAACACAATTACATAACATGATAGAAAAATTCTACGATACATTTGGATTAGGTGAAAATAAGATAGGAAAAATCACCAAATACGAAGTTGAGATCAAGCTCACAGTTGATAAACCTTATCCACCCATACTACGGAAGGCAGCATACCCAGCTAGCCCAAGAAATAGAGCAGAACTAGAAGTACACATACAGGAACTTGTTAAATTAGGCATCTTGCGCAAAGTGCAACAAAACGAAGATGTGGAGATAACCACGCCCTGTGTAGTAGCATGGCACAGGGGCAAATCACGTGTGTGTGGTGATTTCAGAGCTTTAAATGCATATACTGAACCAGATAGATACCCCATGCCCAGGATTGAGCAAGTTATTACGAACTTAGGGAAATCAGTCTATATAACCACGATGGATCTTATGAAAGGATTTCACCAAAATATGGTGTCCGAAGAAAGTAAAAAGTTCTTGAGGATCATTTTACACTTGGGAATCTTTGAATACCAAAGGATGCCGTTTGGAATCAAAAACGCCCCAGCATTCTTTCAAAAAATGATGGATACGGAGTTTCATGACGAACTACGTGACAGACACGTCATAGTCTATATAGATGATATCATCATATTCCACAAATCTTGGGTAGACCACTGCGCAACTTTGCATTCCATACTGTCGATACTCACAAACCTAGGGGCTAC